GGGGTGTCGTTAAAGCGGTCTGCGGAAAGGTTTCCATCAAACGTGTGAGCTGCTTAAAACGTTATGACCTGCGCAGGGAGCCGCCGCTGGGAGCCGCCTCAGCGCCGCCGCCGTTCGCCAGGGGAAGGCGCCCGCCCGGCACACCCTGCAACAGGTACAGAAACCCGAGACAGGACATACCTCAAGTTAGACACCCGAGGGCAGCTCTTAAGTTAGACGTGGAAATCTCAGAGGGATCTCGAGTTCGATGTCGGCGTTCGAAAGCACTGAGCCTCAACACCAGCCTAGCTTCCCAAATTGTTTTTATTGATCTGGCTCTTCAGTCTTCCCCTTTGAATTAAGCAATACCAAGTTGGAACAAGCTCCCTTTCTGGCACACAGAGTCAAGCTGCTGCTTAGTTTCAAAAGATAGCAAGTTTCAATTCGCTGCATCTTTCCCTTTGGGTGTAAAATCTTCCCTTCTCCCCATTTCTCACATTGTGCAGGCATCATCCCAGACTGCCCCAAACCAAAAAAGCTTAACAACTTCCTCACCACTGGTTTTTTTCATTCCTTCTTCATAAAGTCTGGTAATTTGTAATAAGCATTTTCATGACAGCCTATTTTTCAGTGACTCTCCTATAAACCAACTCCTAGAAGCTTGCCCATCGTATCATTTATAAGCAGCCCAACAGCAGACTCTACCACTCTGCAGAGCTCGATGTTTCTGTTCGCAATGTGTTGAATAAGAAACTTCTTTTACCTACAACCTGTTGAACATGTATCTGCTGCAACACTTCCCTGTGGCTGAACAGAAAGTCTTGCACTCAGCACTGGGCACCTACAAGCAGAGTAGAGGCATTTTCTTGGACAACAGAAATACTAAATTCTCATAAAATATTTTTGCGGCAGAGTTTATGTAGGCAGCAGAGAATCAATTTCCCTTGCCTCCACAGGATGTGGGGATAGGCTGATTTTTTCCTTCAGATCTCCATACCTTTTAACTCTCTCTCACACTCAGAAACAAGGCCTTGCATGAGAGTAATAGAACTGTGGGCATTTCCATTTGGTTTTTAAAGACTTCCAAGGAGTCTGGATCTGGCATTCAGTGCATTACCTGCTTTGTCTTTGAAAGGTCTTGCCAAAAAAGGTCTTCATCGCAGCATAGAAGATTGCCCTGTGTGGAGTGCACCCATATCCATTCATTCTGTAAATTGAAGCCATCACTGCTGTAATTAAACAACAAAAAACAACCAAACAAAAACCAAAAACCATTTTCTCTGCATCGCTGCAAAGCGACAGTTACCTGACACCTGCATAATACCAAGTGCAGTAAGAAATTTGGTTTAGATTCTACAAAGAAGTGACACTTCAGCTATTTTCCTATTTCATGCATGCTTGTAAAGCATTTTATGTGAGAAATGTTCTTCACAGGGCTGACAACAGAAGGATAAAGGAGGCTGGGCAGAGACACTCTCTATCCAGATTTCCCAGAGCAGTAATCACTACTGTGATGAGTGATTCCTCCTTGTCAGGAGGGTTACAGAGATGACCTAAGGGCACATGGCTGTGCAGGGGCTTGGGAGGCGGGCAGGGTGACATCATTTAGGTTACAATATCAGATACTACTTGGCAGTGAACAGACAGCTTAGGACCCTGCTTGAATCCATGTTATGAGATGGTTCTAGGAGGAAGGCTCAGGAGGAGCTCATGTGACCCTGTAGGAAGGAAAACAGGTCGTATCTTGCAAAGCAATTTCTTTGGGATGTGAGGACAAACGAACCACATTCATAAAGTGCACCCTGCAAGAAATTTCTTATTAATAATTAGGTTTTATTGTTTCCTAATCTTTTTTGCGGTAAGGGATTTCTAGTTAAGCTGTCTCCCCTATCCTTTTACGGACAGACCCATATCACACAGCAGTGACACCGGTGACATAGACCACTGCTAGTGTGCTAAAGCCCTAATACATCTGCTAGTACTCTATGTCAGACCAGATCAGATACATATCATGAAACATTTTAAAAAGCATAGTTCAACACTGGAAAGTAATAGCAATTTGTTATCATAAGGCTTTTGTGGTTTGGTGTTTTTCTCTTATAGTCTATTGTATTTTCTCTTTATTAAAGGAATCCTATACTTTTCAGTCCTCTTGCTGTAGCACAAAGTCATAGCCATATAAAAAAGTATAATCAGTTTTAACTAATATAAAATTAGATTATTAAATTCCAATTGTAGAATCTCTGCTGTTGCACTCTAAAAAAATTTAATAGCTTTTCCTCCAAAAAATCTCAACATTTTTAGGGCTGGCAAACCCACTGGACGTTCATTTGGAAGGCAGCCAAATATGCAGTGTTTTACAACTATACAAGGATTACTTCTAGTGAATGTCAATATAATCCTACTTCTGAAGATGGAAAATAATAAAGTGGAAATATTCTACCTGCAGCACAACCTGCAACATCTCATCTTTGCAAGAGACTTACTGCACTTTTTCTTCCAATACTGAGCTGTTCTACAGATGCAGGATAAAACATGCATTAGAGCCCTGTGGGGTGGCTCTGCTGGCCAGGTGCATCACAGCTTCCTGCAACCTTGGGTCATGTGGTAGGACAAACTATCAGTCAGCCTCTTAAACGCTTGCAGTCACTCTCTAATTCAATACAGTAGTAAGTTTTCAGCCTTAAACAGTTTATAGACCCCCAACTCTTTCTCTGTTGGAGATGCAAATCTTAGAAACTAATTACAGAGATACGTGAGCACAGTGACTTCCTTCTACTTTGCCAGGCTTTGTGGATCCCTTGGAAGTAATTCAGGGACCACAAAGAGGTTTACAGTCTTCAGACTGAAAAATACTCTTCTTAAAGTGACCAGTCATTTAATACCACCTAGTGGTACTGACATTTTAAATGGATTTTTGAAGTAATTAACCCAAAACACCTGAAACACAATTACCAGCATCTATCCTTCATACATTTTAATACCCCCATTGATTTTACTATGCCATATTGCCCCAATTTATGCTGTTCTCTCAAAAAAAGTCCTGAGATACATGTAACATACAAACTTGATGGAATTTTCTGGCCAGAGCCTTCTCACAGTTGTTGCTTCCCCCCACCCCCAAGATGGAATCACTCTGCCATCACAAGAAGCAGGACGGAAAATATATAAAATATATTTAGCAAAACCAGTAAAATTAAAGTGGAACAGAAAATGCAGTCAAGTAGCAAACATTATGTACAGCAGCAGATTTTACAGTTTTTCCCTAATACATACCTCTGCACTTATTTCACACTCTTTTTAAGGAGAAGGAAGAAAATAGAAATAAGCTAACATTAAAGAAAGAAAACATTTTTTTTTCCTGAACAGTAATGGGGATTATCACTGTTTCTTGAAACTCCAATTCAGACTATATATCTCTAAGAAAAATAAGAGGACAACACCATTTTCTCTAGTCCCTAGAATAAAATTACACTCTCCTCCTTTTATGGA